CTGTCTGTAAGATATTAATAAGTGAAACTAAAGAAGTATACAAAAAGATTTTTAGATTATTTTGAAGACTTTAAATTTGAAGAAATTTTTTGGCCCGAATTGACATGTTTAAAAAGAATCACCCATATATTATTAGGATACAAGACATGGAACTGTAAACTATACAATTTTGCCTCTTCACTTAGACTTATTAAAACACGGGATTTTCCTGTTTTTAATACTGTAAAAAANTATATATATTAGAAGATATATATAGATATATATATTATATATATACATAAATAATCTATATATATTATTTATATATATATAAGAAGAACTTTGTGTATGGTTATTATGATCTATACTCTCAAGAATGATGGTAAACGCGATTGCGTAGCTCTCACAGTTACAATGGTCAAATTTCTAAATAACCTGTGTTTTTTAAATCAAAACATAATCCTTAGAAAAGAGAGCATTTTGTGTTTTAAAATTTTTTTCTGGCAACACAAGGTTCTTTTCTGTTTTATAAAGTTTTTATCGCACTCTCTTTTCGTTTGTGATCACGAGAAACTCTTGAAAAAACCTTGCGTCAAAATTTCTTGCGCTGAAAATTTCATTCCAATTCCGTTTCAGGTTTTTTACTGTAATAATTGCGTTTCGATCATAAAAGTGGGCGTTTCGAATTAGAAATTTCAATTTTTTGTCGCGATAGCTTAAACAATGAGAATTACGCATTCCTTTTAGAGCCCATAGATCGTTATACTTATATAAAAAAACTCGGATTGTGAGGAAATTATTTCTTTTTTGTACGGAAAAAACTAAGTCTGAAATGCACTTTACTAGTCAAGAAGAAGTATCTACCATATTGGTATGTTCTTATTGATTAATTTAAAATAATAGATAAATTTGTTAAGATTAGTTTGTTTTGCTATGTAATCTCTCTAATGTTTTCTTGTTTTAATGCTATTATTATTTATTGGTCGTTGCAGTTAAAATAATTCAGTCCAACTTATTTTGCGTTTACTAAAGATTCAAGCCCTAAAGATTGAAGACCCTAACAAACAATAAGGATTTAACCGAATTGAAATTCTGTTCCGTTTCGATACCATAACCTCTCCTCTCAGGGTAAAACCCGATAACCCCTGAGGCGAGTCTATTCTAGGGCCACAAAAGCTGCAGTGCAGTGATGGAACAAGTTAATTGCACTCGAGGCTGAGCACATGCTTTTCGGGTTCTAGGACAAAACTTACTGCAGGTCTCTTTCACCAAGCACAAAAAGCCTCATTTTCTAATTTTGTTAAATTTTGACTATCCTTTATAGAAATTTGTAACTTTAATGTAGCTTTTTTAATTTTATTTTATAACCTTCGTTGTACAGCCTACCTAATTTTTGGGTTTTCGACTACTAACGTTCAACTCCGTAGCTTTGTAATTTTGAACCCAATCCGGAAGACAAGGGAACTCCAGAAATGTACCTTCATTTAGGACTTTTGATGGAACTAACCAGCATTTGCGTTACATGGAGACCACGAAAACCTCCCACACGTAGTCAGACGGCAAGGGGACTCTAACCCATGATCCATCTACCACTAAAGATATTTTGCTTGAGCACTGTAGTCTTCGCGAGCAGGGAAGAAAATTCATATTGACCAGCCATCACTAGGATTCAAACCAGGCTCACCTCATTGGGAGGTGTGTGCTCTATCCCCTTAGTCACCCCGGATCTTTTTTTTTATATAGTTTTTATATGGATTTTTATATATTTTTTATATGGATTTAAAGAAATTCTCTGAATTTTCTTTAGAAAAACTAACTAAAAATAATTATATATTTTATAAGGTACTTATGTCATCGAACCCTCATCACTCCCGGAACCTAGGACAATTGTACGTCTCTCATTCCTCCTTCAGTACGGCCTTGACAATATCACTTGTAAATTTTATGCATGATTTTTTTGTTATATATAGTAGATGATTGTAATATTCCAAAGGTATTTCCTACTTAAAAGTACTTGATACTATTTTGTTAATTGCTTGTAATGTTACTGTATGGAAAAAATATGTGTATCTTTCGTTCTAACGGTCACTGATTCAGTACTATTGGCCATCAAAACTTTTTTCCTTTTATTTTTTCCTCAAATGTTATTTTTAATTTTTTAAACTGATAAATCTATATTTACACTTTACTAAAAAATAACCAATGAATTTATTAATTAAGTTAAGAAATACTTATTATTTTTATATTATTTACTATTTCCAATATTTTTTACTTTTTACATTTTTTAAATTTTGTAATAATTGCCTTCGAGTGAGCATTATTTTTTTCTTCGCAATGTTACTATTTATACTAATTGATATTATTGATAGTATTATAATGCAATACACAAAGATTTTTGAATTTGAAAATTGATTGTATTATAATGCAATATTCAAAGATTTTGAAAAACTTTCAAATCAAGAAAATAATAGTTGTTCTTATAAAAAAAAATAAAAACAATTAGAAAGAAATTTTGAGATAAACAGAAAGCTAAGTAAAGTTTTACAATAAAGAAATTATTTCAACAAATTCCCTAAAAGTTACAAGAGCCAGTTATTAGAACAATAATGATAATAAAACTATTTGTTCTGTATAGGAAGAAAAGATTATAAACCAAAAATACTTTGAAACTCAACTTCCAAGCATAGATCTTCTTAGTGTAAGGCAGCATATTTACAGGGTGTAATAAGTAGTGTTACTTGGATGTGAAAGTAATAGTTATTTTCATTTGTTTTATACCTTGTCATAATTGAACTAGATATAAACTAATTAATTTATTCAATAATATTTGAGTTCAACTGATCGAGTTTTTATTAGACAAACAATAATTAAAAAAAATAATTTTTGCTAAAATAATGACGTATTTCTGAAATTGCTAGGTTTTCCCAAATGTTACATCTTCTTCTTCTATCTCGAATTAGATGGATTATTTTTAATTACATGATAATATATTTTATTGATTATTTATAAAAATAAATTACATTCAATTCAAAATATGTTTCAGAATAATTAATAATAATGGAGGAAGTTTAACGTCTTAATAATTAGAGGTATATATGTGTATATCTGTGTAGCAATGCATATAATGAATATTTAAGACAAAAAGTAACTAAATAAAAAGTAAAGAAAGGTACTAAATTAAAGAAAATATTTTCAAACATTTCCCTAAAAGTTACTAAGACCGAATTCAGATTTTTAGAACAATAAGGAGAAAAAACTTGTTTGTTCTGTGCAGGAAATAAAGATGATTTGCCCAACAGATGGTGAAGCTCAGCTCCTCGGCATAAATCCTCGTAATGTAAGGTAACACATTTACAGGGTGTTATTAGTAGTGTTGCTGGATGTGGAACAAATAATAATTTTCGTTTGTTGTATATACATTGACATAGGTAAACTAGAAATTAACTTTTATTGAATAAAAATTATAATTAATTATAATTATAATTATTGAAATTATAAATTATTGAATAATGGGTAAATTTAAGTGCTCCATTTTAATTAGACAGGCAATAATTAAATAATTATATTTGTTTAAATAATTATAGATTTCTGAACTTTTGGTGTTTATTCAAATATTACCTTTATCCAAGAATTATATGGATTTATTTGAATTGCATGTTACCATATTTGACTGATTACTTATGAAGGCAACAAAGCAATATTTAATTAAAGAAATATTCTAGAATAATAAATAGTGGCACATTTTTTAAGCTCTAAGTGACCTATTTTTAGCTTCTTTATACTTAGAGTGATGTCGACAATGTTACAAATTATGGAGTAATTTATGTATCTGATATTAAACTATTTTTTTATATCATTCACTTGTTCTCAATTTTACTTAATTATGAGAAAGATATAACGCTATTTGATTTTTACTGGAAAAAATCTTCTTTATGAATGAAAATTTTCCTTAGTCTTTTAAATAAGAATAAAGTGTAATAATAAAATAAGAAAGAAAAGTGTTACTCTAAAAAATATTTGTAGATTTACTCAAAATTATACAAAAAAGAAAAAAGAAAGGATTTTCAGTACGAAATAAATTTTATATCGTCTTTTGAGACAGTTCCATTCAAATTATAATAGTTTATCGGGAACTCTAGTTTTCAAACTTATAGTTCTCATTACCGAACTAAATATACAAAACTGAAAAGTAAATTTTATCGAACTAATGGTTTTTATGCCTTGCTCTAATGTATCATGATACATTTACTAAATTTTACCACATTTATAAAATTTTGTTACACATTACTAAACTATATTTAATTGTTAATTTACTAAAATCATTACCAAAGTTCTTTGATTAAAATTACCGAGATTCTTTACGTTCCCATACAGCCAGAAATATGGCAAATTTAACCACATTTAGGTAGTTTTGACCATACTTTTTTCCTTAGTGTATGGTTCAGATATAGATAAAATATAACAGTTGTATTATTTGTAGTGGTCATAGAAAATAATTAATTTTATTTTAGTAATTTACTAAATTTTTTTATTAAGTACATTATTCCGCGTTTACTGATATTTATTAAGGCAATCATTTCTACAAAATCTTTTCTACAATTCAACATTTCTATACTTTTAAAAAATTGTAAGGAAAAACACTTTTATCCATACATCTAAATAATTTGTTATTTCTTTTTAAGTTCAAAAATTTTTACTGAATCTTATTTTAAATTTTAAAATTTACATTTTGAATTAAATAATGTAGTCTATAATTAATAATGTAGTCTACCTTTTAAAAAAGCGTTTAAAACTTAGCTTAAAACTTTTTATGTGAATAAATATTAATCAACATAAAATTAGTTTGAGAATAATCTTAGCAAATCAAGTAAAATAGATTGAAAAAAGTATATTAATCTGAATCTTTTGAAAAATCAATTTTGCGTGACCGAATTTTATAAACGTAAATTAAATCTTTTTCTTGTTTGTGAAAAATATTGTTAAAAGGTTTTGTAAATAATAAACAACTAAACTTGTCTTACTTTTTATAGACGATTTGTCGTCTTTTTAGGCAAAAACTTCTGCAGAAGGCGCACAACTTTTTCCATCAAGCACACGCTAGAAAACGATAATAAACATAGTCACGGAAGTTCACAAAACTCTTCTCAACTCAACTTTACAACAAAGTTATGTGAGCAAACGAACATAACCAGTGCATGGAACAATTCGAAAAATCCCTTTCAGCAAAAAACGAACAGATAAGAAAAAGAAATAATCCCTGCTTTAGAGTTCTTTCAAATTTCTTCCTTTTTTCTTACATGATCAAATACGGAATTCGGCAAACCTCTTCCTTCGATCAACTCTTCGCCTTCTGTGTTTTCTCACTTTGGCAAGTCTGAACTTGCTAGAGAGCGCTTGCGCCAGTGACGTCAAAGAAGATCCCGAATTACCCGGATTTTCGTTTAACGTTTACTACTNATCAGAAACTCTAGTTTTCTAACTTATAGTTCTCATTACCGAACTAAATATGCAAAACTGAAAAGTAAATTTTATCGAACTAATGGTTTTTATGCCTTGCTCCAATGTAACATGAAACATTTACCAAATTTTACAACATTTATCAAATTTTGTCACACACTATTAAACCATATTTAATTGTTAATTTACTAAAATCATTACCAAAGTGCTTCGGTTAAAATTACTGAGATTCTTTATGTTCCCATACAGCCAGAAATATGGCAAATTTAGCCACATTTTGTTAGTTTTGACCATAATTTTTTCCTTAGTGTATGGTTCAGATATAGATAAAGTATAGCAGTTGTATTATTTGTAGTGGTCATTGAAAATAATTAATTTTATTTCAGTAATTTACTAAATTTTTTATTAAGTAAATTATTCCGCATTTACTGATATTTATTAAAGCAATCGTTTCGACAAAATTTTTTCTACAATTGAACGTTTCAATAAATTTTAAAAATTGTAAAGAAAAACACTTTTATCCATATGCCTAAATAATTTGTTACTTCTTTTTAAATTCGAAAATTTTTACTGAATCTTATTTTATATTTTAAAATTTACAATTTTGAATTAAATTATGTAGTTTATAAAGAACCTTTTAAAAAAGCGCTTAATACTTAGTTTAAAACTTTTTATGTGAATAAATATTATTCAACATAAAACTAGTTTGAGAATAATTTTAGGAAGTCAAGCACAATAGATTAACAAAAGTATATTAATCTGAATCTTTTGAAAAATCAATTTTGCGTGACCGAATTTTATAAACGTAAATTAAATCTTTTTCTTGTTTGTGAAAAATATTGTTAAAAGGTTTTGTAAATAATAAACAACTAAACTTGTCTTACTTTTTATAGACGATTTGTCGTCTTTTTAGGCAAAAACTTCTGCAGAAGGCGCACAACTTTTTCCATCAAGCACACGCTAGAAAACGATAATAAACATAGTCACGGAAGTTCACAAAACTCTTCTCAACTCAACTTTACAACAAAGTTATGTGAGCAAACGAACATAACCAGTGCATGGAACAATTCGAAAAATCCCTTTCAGCAAAAAACGAACAGATAAGAAAAAGAAATAATCCCTGCTTTAGAGTTCTTTCAAATTTCTTCCTTTTTTCTTACATGATCAAATACGGAATTCGGCAAACCTCTTCCTTCGATCAACTCTTCGCCTTCTGTGTTTTCTCACTTTGGCAAGTCTGAACTTGCTAGAGAGCGCTTGCGCCAGTGACGTCAAAGAAGATCCCGAATTACCCGGATTTTCGTTTAACGTTTACTACTACTACAAAGTTTACGTTAGTACTAGAAAACAGCTGTTTAGTAAGATCGTGAAATAATTAAACTTTAAATTACTTTATAGTTTTAGATTTTTAGGAAAATATGTAATTTAGAGTTTATCGATTACCTTTACGAAAGGATAAAGTCATCAAAATTCCTTTCACTATTTTCAGTTATTTAACAATATTCATGTTAGTTATTTTCTTTAATGATATTTTTTAAATAAAAAATAACAATGGAAAACATCAATTTACAACAACTTGTTTAAAACACGTTATTTTTAAAATTTTCAGGCAATGGTTAAAAAATTAGAAGAATATCGCTTGTGTTCTCTACTGTTTTGTACTACAAAAAAAGCTATCTGAACTGAATTCATGAACACAAATGTATCAACTTTCTAAATTTTATCGAAGAGTATAGCAATCAGGATTCGTATTCGCCTGCAAAAATTAATAACTGGTTTAAATTTTGCTATGAAGAAACTGAAAATTGCTTAATATTAGCTACCACTATAGAAATAGAATTTCATCTCAGCTACCATCGAATATAATAATTCAAAGAAAATAAAATATTCTGTTAGCTACAAACTTAATATAAAAAATTACATTAATAATACTACAACTTTTAATTTTTGATTGAGCATTTTTTCCCGTAATTTGATTAGAACTAGTTTGTATGTCAGCAAAGTCATCAAGTTAAATTTAGTCTTCAAAATTGCGGTAGGTTTCACATGTTTAACCTACCGCATCAGATGGTTAATACGTAAAAAGCAAGTAGCATTTCTTACAAGAAAAGCTAAACTGTATATTTCTCATTAGAAACTTTAAAAAAAAATTACAATACTAACCGCACTTGTATTTTTCTTCCAGTGTCGTTTCTCATGTCTTCTCAGAATAAACTGGACAGATTTTGATGAAATACTTAATTTATTTGCAGATTTACTATAGTAAATGAAACATTAAAATATTTTGAATCAATTAACAAAATTTTTTCTAAAAAATGTAAAAAATTGCAAATTTTTGCAATTTTTAAGATTCTTCCTTTTTTATATTCTGTTTTATCATTTAATTATTGTTTATAATACATCAAAATTGAATCAAAGGAGTACATTAATAATTATTTAACCCTTCATTGGTTGATTTGGTATGAAATTAACGATTTTAAAATGCCAATATGTAAGAATTAGTAAAAATTTTCATTTACACATATTTTTTGAATGAATATGAATAATTAATCTTTGATTAATGAGTCTAAAAATAAGATTTTTGTGAATCTTGAAACTAAATTAGTTACCTACAAAAAAATTTAACAAATCATTTTAATCAAAACTGTGTTCCCAGTTTTTCTTTCACACGGACATAAAAATTCAAGTAAAATTAACGTTCAGTGTAGTAATGATGTTTCTGGTAGAGAAAAAAAAACATAATTCAGCCATTAAAGGCCAAAATATACTTTACTTAAACCATTCCTTTCATTCCATTTACCAAATTTTATCGCATATTAGAAAATCATACTATATTACCAAAAATATCAAATATTATCATTACCAAACGCTACGGTAAAATTTAACAAGTTTTTGGCGTTCTCAAATAGCTTAAAATACAGTAAAATTTATTATATTCTGGTGTTTTGACCGTATTTTTATTCTCGGAGTACTTACAAATTTTGATCATATTATTACAAAAAAAGAAAAATTTGCAATGATTACAACAAATTTACAATGAGATGGTTATTTTAATGTATTACAAAAAATAAATAATTAAATGTCTTTTCAACGGAAAAATATTTCATTTTTGTTAAAACAAACTATAAAATCTATTTTGCACTTTTTTTGCCTGAACAAATCATTTATTTTATGTTTGGAACATTGTCCATTATTTTTTAATTAAGTATAATACTGCTTGAAATTGTTTTAAAATGGTCTTCGTCAAACGCATTTATAATTAAAATTTATCTGTGTAAGCATTCATAGTTTTGTTTGAAAAAGAAAAACACTTGTTAATTGCTAAGAAAGCTTTAGAAAAAATAAAGACTTTTGATTTATGATCTAAGCACTAAAAACATTTCATTTACAGCTGTTTCGTAGAAGCTAGAAATAAATTACCGTAAAATGTACTTTCATTTTCTTTTTTTTTTCTTCTTGAAATTATTCTGCATTAATTGTTCCGAGAAAAAAATCTAAAGTACATTAAAATTTAATTTTCAAACTAAGGAGAAAAATATATTCAAAATATTTATTTGTATTTTACAAAAGCAAATAATATTTAAAAACTAGTTACTCTTTTCAGTTTTATGGACTTTTTCTGCTTCTCTAGCTTTTANTGACCATATTGTTATTCTCGGAGTACTTACAAATTTTGATCATATTATTACAGAAAAAGAAAAATTTGCAATGATTACAACAAAATTACAATGAGATGGGTATTTTAATGTATTACAAAAAATAAATAATTAAATGCCTTTTCGGCGGAAAAATATTTCATTTTTGTTAAAACAAACTATTAAATCTATTTTGCACTTTTTTTGCCGGAACAAATCATTTATTTTATGTTTGGAACATTGTCCATTATTTTTTAATTAAGTATAATACTGCTTAAAATTGTTTTAAAATGGTCTTCGTCAAACGCATTTATAATTAAAATTTATCTGTGTAAGCATTCATAGTTTTGTTTGAAAAAGAAAAACACTTGTTAATTGCTAAGAAAGCTTTAGAAAAAATAAAGACTTTTGATTTATGATCTAAGCACTAAAAACATTTCATTTACAGCTGTTTCGTAGAAGCTAGAAATAAATTACCGTAAAATGTACTTTCATTTTCTTTTTTTTTTCTTCTTGAAATTATTCTGCATTAATTGTTCCGAGAAAAAAATCTAAAGTGCATTAAAATTTAATTTTAAAGTTAAGGAGAAAAATATATTCAAAATATTTATTTGTATTTTACAAAAGCAAATAAATTTAAAAACTAGTTACGCTTTTCAGTTTTATGCACTTTTTCTATTTCTCTTGCTTTTAATTCAAAACAAAAACAGATGACGGGGCACAATTTTTTAATTATTTGAAATTTCAATAGTAACTTACATAAGAATTAATAATCAATAAAATAATCAGTTATCAGTAATCTTTAAAATCAATAAAATAATCAGTCTAAACTATGTATTTTCTAATTATATTGCGTTTAGAAATTATATAAAAGTATGTGATGAAAAATTAAAAAAAGAACACTTCCTTTATTTTTTCATCTTCAAAGTTTTTAATTTGCTAGTATTCAATTTTAAAAACAAAAATACCTTTTATTTTTAAATGCTATTTATTTCTGTAAATTAAATATTTGAAAATCAAAAAGTAAAAGATCATAATTAATTAAAAGCTTTAGTTATTTCTCCATTGTCTTTATATAATTTTAGTTTTCTTATTTAAAACGTTTCCTGAAACAAAGCATATTAATATTCGTCCTCAATTGTTAAAGTAACATTCTACTCTAACATTTTTCTATAAGACATTCAAACATTTCTTTTTCAATTTTGTAGAAATTGCAAACAGTTTTGTAAAAGCAATTTTCATTTGTTGTGAAAA